TTCACTTGAAGAGCATCATCCATGCACGTAGTTTTGATGATTTCAAAGAGACTACCCAGGAAAGTTGCATGCAGCCAAATTATTTGTAGAATTAGGGGGGTTAACATGTAAAGATTTTATCCGTAACTTACATTGTGGATTAAAGGAAAGCAGTAACATGTAACCAAATGAAGTAAATCAGGACATACTAACATAAAGCAAAAAATGTAAGAAATCTTGTACTGACTGCATTCATTTATGAATTCTGTAGAGTTCTGGGTAGCTTCTTTTGTCTTTGATATTATACTGAAACAAACTCCTTTTTTATATTACATCTTTGTGTTTATTTTTAACATCATCTTCCTCTTTCTTTTAATAGGGAATTCAGAAGTTGACTAGTCAATACTTAAAGAAGGATTGGCTTGGAATAAAACCTGATGAGCGAAGTGATTATAGGTAATTTAATGATTTGGGGTTTTAAAAAGCTGTCCTTTCATTACCAATCTGTGTAATTATTCTGTCTCACAATGAAGAACCTTCTCTTCTGTAATTGAAATGTAATTGTATTTTGCCTCACCATTTCCAGATGACATGAAGCTTTGTTTATCTGAAGTCCTGAAATAGTTTTAAATTGACAAATGTGGTACTTTTATAGTCTAAAGAGGAGGAGGAGCAAATATAAATGAACTTGCAAAACAGCTGCCCAGACATTTAATGGCTTTGTGGCGGGTGGTGGAGGAGTATATTTTTATTGTACAAGTTTAATTTGAAGGGTAAGAAAGTGGTAGGAAGCTAAATTAATGTTTGAGGTTAGTATATGTTGTATCTAAGAACAAGGTCCAACAAGAGAAAATGTGTTTATGAATGAGTTGTATTAGTAAGCAAGATTGATTATAAAGTCAAAGCAGCCATGATTCAGTTGCTCAGAAGCCATTCCCACTTGAATAGGACCTCCTGAATATTTTATATTTTTTTTAAATATGTTTTTATATGGGCTTTATAATAATCCTAAGTGTTCCTATCCTCAGAAGGCCTAATAGACTTGTTTGGAACACCCAAAATTGCGAATCTTGTTTTAAATAAGAACAAATTTGTGTTTATTGGATTATCTTCAGATTTTCAGCTTCTCCTGGTCAACCGCAGCGTGAGCAAGACAAGCACAAGTTCAATATTTAACCATAAATGCATACTGAATATAGTGCAAATACCCCTTGGACATCTGCTTGCTCCCCAAGTCCCCATGTTGCCTTCTTTCTCCTTTTGTGCATCTGCTTTCTGCCACTCCTCCACATTTCCCAGGTCTTTCCCCTACTTACCTGTCTGTAGTGGTCATACACTTTGATTTCTCCTTTCTGGGCTTTGGCACGCTCTGCATTGCCAGACGGTAGGAGTGGGGACTAACCTCATATTAACTCACCCATCTTCGATTGTGATGGTGGTGGAGGCTAGTCCTGCTAAGTTCACCAAGTGGCTACACAGCTGTCCTATTCCAAGGCCCTGGCTCCAGGACTGGTAGTGCGGATGCACTGGTACTGTGGGTGGTTGCTACAACTGCCACCTCCAGCACAAGTGGCACAGTGGCCTCTAGCAGCTGTTGGATGAAACTGCGGGCTGCTTCAGCACGATTGCTGAGTCCTGTGACCGTTTGCATGATTGCAAAGTTGTTCATGATCATGTTAGGTGTTGGCAATGCTGCATATGCCTACAGAAATTACTTTATTTTTCAAATTAATAACGTCCTTTACCTCTTAGCTGAGAGTTTCTTAGGGATTCTTTCATATATTGTAGTAGATCCAATTAAGTGCGTTTTGAACAAGTTAAGAGTTGTAAAACAGAGAACGGAGGATAAGTCTTGAGTTTTTATAGAATTCCCATTTAAAATTTTTGTAGACCTGGAATTACTTGGCAGATCAGCAGAAAGGATTCTGTTTCTTCAGTTGTATAAAAATTTGTGGTTTTTTTCTTGTGGAGCTTAAGGCTGAAACAGATTGCTTGCTGTATGCTGAGCTATTGTGACCATATATAAATATAACAATCAGAATGTTTTTTGCTGCCCTAGTTTAGAAACCACAATGAAGTGTTAAACCAGAGATTTTTTTCATAGACTTTCAGTGTGTAAGTGGATTTTTCTGGTTACTGCTACTCCTGTAAAGCAGTGCCAACATTGCTGTGTAAATGATTAGTAGTAGTAAAAGTAAAAATATTCTGTTCTCCCTTTACTCCTTCCCGTAACCTTTGGGTGTCTTGATTTGTAGGAGCATGTACTCCGTTTGGAAATCATTTCTAGAAGGCACAATGCAGGTGGCCCAATCCCGGCTCAATATCTGCGAAAACTATAAAAACTTAATTTCTGAACCTGCCAGGACAGTAAGATGCTTCAAGGAACAGCAACTGAAAAAGGTATCATCACTGTTTCCCCCTTTGTACTTTTCATTTAGAGTAATGGTCTTTTCATCTCCAGCAACACTTCACCTTGCTGCAGTCTTCAACCCCAGGAGTCTTTCCTGCCCAAGCACGGGCGAGCTGGACCTGATGATCTTGAGGGGTGCCTTCTAGCCCCTAATAGCTATGGATCTATGAACACTTTTGCATGATTTGTAGTGCAGTAGAAATACTTTTACAGATTCTACCTTGCTTTCCGCCTTTTCTCATGCATTGTTTGTACACTGTAAGCTACTAGTTTGTTTTGTACCAGTTATTCATGTCACTGGGCTGAATTTTCTAGAATGAAATTCTGGCTTTAATTGCATTAAATTCCAAAAGCAAGTCAGACACTAAAGAATGTAAAACAAAATTTGCAAACCTAATTTCATGCTTTTGAATTGGGCAGAATCGGTTCTGTGATTGCATGAATATACTAGAAGTAACCTGTTTTGGAAATGGTGTAGATTCTTTCCAGATTTGAGCTTGTGGTAAATAGGCTCTGTTTTTTAAACCACCACGCATTTTAAATCTGAAGCAATGCCATGTGCAGTCTCTAAATATGTGGAAGGAGAGATCGCTCATCTATATCCTGAAAAGTATCTCCCACAGCTATCTAGAAGTCCAGCACCAGAGAAAGTCTTGTATTAATCGTTACTGCAAAGCTGTTACAATTGAGGGAGAAATTAAATTTAAAACGAGAGTTTTTTAGTTTATTACACTTTAAGTAATTTGTCTTAGAATGGGCATTGAAAATGGTTTAACGTTGGTCATACATGAAATAAAACTATTGGACTCTGCTTTTTAAGAACTCCAGAAAAACATTTGAGTACACTGTTGTTCATATAAGGCTGAATATTTTTTCGTGTTCCAGTGAGTTTTGTATTATGAAAGGGAGCTTTTTACAGATTTCAGTGGAGTTGGGGGGATGATACTGTAGTTTGCGTAACATTTTAAAGAGAGTACACAACTCAAATCCCAGTGTTGCACTGAGCAAATTGGGAGGGTTTTTTTAAAGACCATTTTTTTTCTGTAATAATACACAGCTTGACTAAAGCAAAAAGCTTTTCTGAGGGCAGGGATGGAGTACAAGGTGATGCTGAGGAAGTGGTGTTTGAATACACATTGCAGCTGAGCAAAATACCGCTGCTAGCTCAAAATGTTTGGTCTGCTGGTTAACAAAGTATTGTCACTTCAGAGGAAAAAGAAAGGTAAGCTCTTTCGTTGCTTTGTTCTGTAGCAAACAATGAGATAGTCATTGTCAGGTTTAATTTAGCAATATAAGACTGAAAGGGTAATTGAGTCCATTCACTGGCAGCAATTTTGTCCCAAAAGGCACTCATTATGGCCACATGTCCTGACCACAGCCACAAAGCACCCATTAAAAAAACCCCTACAGTATATGCTGTAGGAAGCGAGCAAGAGAAACAAGGTACCACCACTTGTAGAAGTGAAATAAAATGCATCCAGACGCCCTTAGGAAGTGCATCATGCCACACATTCCAGGCCAGTGGTGCTCAACTTGTTAGGGTCAGCTTTTTTATCCCAGTTAAAAACCACTGCTCTTTTGCCTCAGTGATTTGCCTCGGTGAGTCTCAACTGGAATGTTGCTTCCCGCAGGTACGAGTGCCCCATGCTCCTTGTTCACAGCCAAACCAGGGAGGTAGCTGGGACTGCCCCCCAGACTGCCACTGCTCCCCATTCTCTTCTTCCTGCAGCCGTGGCGTAGGCACAGCTTCCAGCCAGTGGTTTGCTGTGCCGAGGCTGCATGGCTTCCAGCTGTGCCTGTGCTGCAGCCATGGGGTGGGAGGTAAACGAAGCTTGTAGTTGCCCGGGCACAAGCTAAAAGCTGTGCCCACGCCGCAGTCAGGGAGCACAGGTGGGGAGAATTGGTGGTGGCACGGGCGCAGCTCTCAGCTGCCCAGCCCTGATGCAAGCACAGGTAAAGCTCCCCACTGCCCACATCAGACTGGATCCGGGTTGTTCCAACACATGGCTTGTGAAGGTTGCCAGCCATTTGGCCTAAATTGAATTTCTGTTTGAAATGGCAACTTTTTCTAAGCTCGTTACTGATGAGGTGCCATTTGAGATGAGGTGCTCCCAACCCTCCATAGCCTTGACCCTGCAGCCCCAACTTCTGCTTCTCTTATTTCGACTTGTTCATGATAAGTTGGAGCAGTTCTTGGCAATTTTAAATACAAGTTACTTTGCAAAATATAATAATCAGAAAGTGGACTGTAGAACAGGGGTTGGCAACATTTTTGGGCAGAGTGCCAAAAACACCCGCTACTTCAACTTGTAAGATGTTGGTATGCCAGGGGCTGGTGGCGGGGAAGCCACGAGAGGCCCAATCCTTGTTGTTGCCATGTAGCTCCAGCCCCTTCCCTGCCATCCACCCAGAAGCACACGTGCCAAGCAAAATACCTTCAAGTGCCACACTCTGGCACCCATGCCGGGGCCTTGCATACCCCTGCTGAGGAAAACTGAAAGGGCATAGGGGTGTAAAAAACACTGCTGTGGTGAAACTGGAGTAAGGACATGTGTTTCTAACTTGAAGCAAAATTGTGCATATTTGAAATGACACTGTAACTAGAACTCTTCACCTAACAGGATATAGTTAGTTTGGTTGATTTCATGAAAACCCTTGGAACGATGGTCTGAGATGCCGACTGCGTGACTGTCAGGACATCTGAGAGAGAACACCAATAATACAATCTTTGCATTCACTTATGCATCTTTCAGGTTGCTTCAAAGCTCTTCTTCAGGATTCCTGAAAAATACAGTTCAAATATGTATTAAAATTGGAAAAAAAATAAAAAGTAAAAACTTCCTAGCCCTAATCCTTCCCACGAAACCCCCCACCCCAAAACAGTTTTAGAGCGCTTCCACCTGTGTGGTTTTACTAAGGAAAAAAAAGTGGACAGAGGTTAAAACTGTCAGTTTTAACTTATTTTGATTTAAGCAATTACAGTCAAGGTGCCCATATATGGCTCTAGGGACCAGAACACTTCTTGGTATTGCAGTGAAACCCCAGGAACATTAAAGTAACTATTAGGAACTCTGCCAACCTAGTTCTTTCTACTGCTTTGTACCTTTTCACTGGTTCAATATTCTCACACTGAGCATTTCCCAAAGTCCTTATCAGACTTATGCTACTACTGTATTTTCTCACATGCCAGTGCCCCTAAATAAGATAGGCCCCTTGATTTTGAAAAGGCAGAATGAAGATGATTTTTTTCCCAAAGTTGTGGCTGCATAGAGCAGGGACTAAACCTAATCTTCAGTTTGCTCACCCTCCCTTTCCTGCTTAACCAAAAACTGAAACCCGATCTGTTGCTGAAGACTGGTCCGCATGGGTGAGTCTATGATTTTTAAAAAGAGCTGAAAAGAGTCTCCAGGGCTATGGAATAGGAGGAGCAAGAGAGAGACCAGGAGGAGCTGTCAGGCAGAAGAATTTCTCAAAGAGATTAGCAGGATTAGTGAAATATCAAGGGCATTATAAAGGAATTAACCCCTGTGGGGTGAAGACCAACGAGCCATTAAGTCAACTAATTTCTTTAGCTGCCGGAATAGAAATGCCACTGCTGGTGCCTGGTATACAAACGTCAGTTTTGGAGGGCTGATTTTGGGGGGAAATGTGAGTGTGGTATGTGTGTAAATATAGTATACCCTATACTTTGTTGGTCTGCAAATGTGTGGTAAGATTTTCTTATGAATTGAGAGAAGATTTTATATTTCTTTTAGCCAGGAGGAAGTCTCAGATTTTTTAGTGTGAGACTGGACTTCTTTTCCTGAAGAGAGAAATTAAAAATCTGTTTTCACGCTCTCAAAATGCTGGCAGTTTTTTGAAGAAAGCATTGTATCTAACTTGACAAGGTTTCTTGGGTGAATTTGATATCTTTTATTAGACCAACCCAAATATTTGGGTTGGTCTAATAAAAGATATCAAATTCACCCAAGGAACCTTGTCTGCCTATGTCCTTAGACCAACACGGCTACAACCCAAACCCTTGTATATAACTTGGGATTTGTGTGACTGCTGACAATTTCTACTGCATCAATAAATGTTTTCCCCCTGTACCTGCATGTACTGTAGATGTGAGCCTGCAAGTAAATTCACTTTCAAAGCACTGGGAGGGAAAGCTGGCATGATTAGAGGGACAGAGAGGGAAACAGAAAAATGACACTAGGATAAAAGTGCCTTTTAACCTTTAAGTCCTGTATCCAAATACAATTTTTAACAAAACATTTGGAAGAGTGTATAGGTCACTTTGTAATATATATTTTTAAATGGTTATTGGAAACTCTTTTGTCCCCACTTACGTGAAATAAAACTGTAATGTTACTCCACAGTACTATTACACTTAAAAGGGTGTTACAAGTCCAATTATAAAGGAAAGTACATACTTACAAAATGGAGTGTTGGTAATGAGTGTTGTGAAAAAGGAAATATAGAAATAGTTTGAAGGCAAAAAATGAAAAATGCATTTTAAGCTTGTTTAAATACAGTATTAAGGCATTAATTGAGATCTTTATTTTTAAATGTTTTCATATTCAAAGAATGACTTGTGTGTAATCAGCTGTAAGCTCATGTATATGTGATGCTTTTATTTTCTTGTGGGATTGTGTATATAGGAACTGAAATCATTGAAAAGACCCTAATTGACATCTGGGAACCTGAACTTGAATCTGTGTATATTATATTATTTCTGTGCAACAAGTTCCTAGCCCAGATTTGAACAGTTATAGATTTCATAAAACTGATTCACTAAGCACAGTATTATTCTGGCCAGTGATAATTCATATTCATTCTGATGGATGGGGAAGGGATGGGGTTTTTTTATTTGGTTTAATAATTTTTCCCCGCTCTTTCTCCAGACTGTGTTCTGGCCAATTAATATGTACATTATGAAGCTGATTATATCCTGTTCATGAAAACAGATGCAGTTATTCTCACGTCTGTATTAACAGATGTTAATTAATTTTAGAGAATGTAGCCTTTGTGCTTGACACTAATTTCTGATGCAAAAGCTCTTAACATGCAACTTAAAGGAGAAAAAACATTTTAAGTAGTAGTTAGCAACTCTTTCGTGGATACAGAGAGAGCATATGTTTTCCTATGTGTTTAATTTTATGGGAAAAAAGAAATTTCCAAATTTTGCAGGTGTTTACTACTATGTTTTTTGCTAACTTTTTAGAAGAAAGTTGCTCTGCTGTGTTTTCTGTCAAGTAGACAGTAAATTGCACCCACTGTATATTCTGCACTGGCTCTTATGGCTAAACACTTTTATATCACTGTGTGTAATTGAAATGCAAGCTGATTGCTTTTTAAGCAAGGTTGCATGGCAAGGGTATTAAATGTCTTTGAATAACCATTTTAAAGTTCAGATTGTATGCAACAGTTGCTTAAACTTAGTTATTGGCTCCATCTTTTGGGTGTTCATCCCTAGTCAGTATAGGAAATGGGTGTGCTTGCTGTGATGTCTAAAACTGCAAAAATGCATTCTTATTTTCTTGCAAGTCCCCCCCCAGTCTGTAAGTCATCTTCTATATCCCCTCTACCCAGATGCCAAAACGTGTTTGGATTATTGTAACTAAATGTCCCATGAAGCGTTTTCAGATCTTACATGTCTAACCTTTACACTTTGAGTATGGTTGATTTAAAAGTTAGAGCCGTTGAGGTTAACAAAAAGTAAAAAGTAGGAGGATGTTAGTTCTTTGTTCTGGTTGGGTTAAGAAGGAATGAATCATTGGTTGACCTGGAGATATTTTGAGAGCATGTAGCTATATGCAAGATTTAATAAACAGTGATAATAATTATATTATTAATTGGATGTTAAAAAAATGAACGCTTCTTTTTCGCATTATGTTTGCAGTGTGTGGACCAGTTGACAAAGATTCAAGCTGAATTACAAGAGACAGTAAAAGATTTAGCTAAGGGCAAAAAGAAGTATTTTGAGACTGAACAGATGGCTCAAGCAGTGCGGGAAAAAGCTGATATCGAGGCCAAGTATGTTTTTTTTTTTAATAACGTATCTCTAAATCATTATATGGCTCTAAAACAACTTTGTACCAAAATTAATGATTGCACTTGATTTATTAATTTTTTTTAGGAGTGGGATCAATTCTGAAATAAGCTCTATTTCAAGTTTGTTTCTCTTTTGTTTCATCTATTTTCTTCATCAGCTCAAGAATATATCTTGCTTGACATTGAAGTATTTTTTGTGTTTAATTGGAAATGGAGAACTGTTAAATATTTTTCCAAGTTATTTAAGGTTTTGTATCATGGCTAATCATTACGATGAAAGTACTTTTTCAGACTTACTGGTTTGAAATGGGAAGCATTAGTAAAATACATACCAGCCTAGAGAATAAGAAAAGCACACCGTTATTAGGATGTACTCTTACAGCTATTCTCATAAATCATGAGAGTTGTAAATTACTTCTGTCATATACTAATTTCCAGGATAACTTATCTATTCTAAGTAAACTCCTTCGTTAAATATACCTTGTCTGATGGATTTGTACTTTCTGGCCCCTTCTTGCAATTGGAGCACTGGGCCAGACTTGCTTAGCTCAAAACTCTGAGGATTATCGGTGTAGAGCCCTACTCGTGGTGTGTATATGCACCACATATATATGTGTGTATATATACCATGTTTTTGCTGGATCACTCACATGATCATCATCACTGTGCGAGACTTCCCCTTTGAGGCTCTGCCTTATGGGTAGAAGAAAGAGGTGATATCACTGCCGCCCCCTACTCATCTTGTATCTGTCAAGTGGAGGGCAGAACATCTTATTTTGGTTTGGAATGCATCTTTTCTTTGGTCTAGTTCTGTGCTTTAATATGATTAATCACTCAGTTATTTGTATGATGGTTGTGCATAGATGATGTGGCTGAGTTGTCCTATCCAACTGGCAGCCTAGGGGCTGCATGTAACCCACTAAGAGTTAATGTGTGGGACCTGGACTCCTACCCAGCTGCCCCCACTTTTCTGTCCAGCTACTGTTGGCCTCCTTCCTGTCAACTTTCACTTCTTGCTTCTACCCCAAAGGGTGGGGTGACAGCCCACAGCACTGGAGGAGCCTGTGGCTTGGTGCAGCCGGGGGATGGTGGGGAGCTGCCCACATGCATAGAGTAGGGTGGGGATTAATGATGTGAAGGGTTAAATGATGAATTGTTTAACCGATAAGTGCATGGATAACCAGTTAGCTTACTGGTTATCCTTTAATTTGGGGCCAGCACAGTCTGGCAGGGAAGGGAAGCCATGCCAAGGCCCGGGAGGAATTGGAAGGCAGCAGGGCAGGCAGGAGGAAGGGAGGAGTAGGAGAAAGGGATGAAGGAGACTAGTGCCCATAGCTTAGGAAGAAAACAGGAGCAGCCTAATGACTCGTCAGTTAAGCAATTAGCTGACGAGCTGCTCCCTCCCTCCCAGCTCAGGCCTTCACCTGGGCTATGTTGTCTGGCTGGGCTTGCCGCCTCCTCCCTGTACCCCTCAGTTCCAGCACCAGCTGTGTCCGAGCTACTGTGTTATCTGTTAATTGTTTAACCAGTATAATTAGAGGAGATTAAACAAATATTTTTAAAACAATATTTACCTCCCTAGTGGGAATGTGGTCTCGGGCCCATGGCTCTCATTAATGTGTCTCCCCACTGGTGTGGCCTGCATAGTGCGTGGCCCCCGCCACTTAGAGATTCAACAGCCCTGGCCTAGGCAATGTGCAGGCATAGCAGAGAGGGAGTGCTTGGCTCGAACTTTACAATTGAAGTATAAGACTTTAGGCAGTAAGTGAAGACTATAAGTAGATGTGATTGTAAAAGAAAACTAGCAGTGATGCCACTGGTTATTCATAGTCTCTGCTGTCGTTTTCAGCTTTCTGTTGGGGCTTGTTGGCCTTGATTCTCAACCCTGCGTTGGTCTTTATGACAGAGCCCAGAAAGATGTCTGGATTCCAGTTGTTTGCATCTTGCCGCAGAGCAGGATGTTTATCAGTCACCAGATCTTGGTCTCTGCAGTGCATGGAAGTGTTGTTATGTGAGACGGATGTGTGGATGATGTGTGTGTTTGAAGTGTACGACTTCGTGGCTCAAAGAACCCACGTGGTTCTAACTGAAGTAACTAACATAACTACTTTGGCTTGGCTTTTTTCATAGGCTCATAGGAAAGTAGGGTTGGAAGGGACCTCAAGAAACCATCTGGTGTAGCTGCCTCCTCAAGGCAGGATCATCCCTTAGTAAAGCATCCCAGTTGTCTGTCCAACCTGCTCTTAAAAATGGGATGGGGATTCCACAACCTCTCCACGTAGCCCATTTCAATGCTTGCCCACCCTCAGAGTCAGAAAATTCATTCTAGTCACCAATCTAAATATTCCTCTGCATCGCTCCTCGTCTCATCCCCAACGGCCATAGAAAATAGTCTAAAGGAGTGGTGCTCAGCCTCTAGCTCATGACGAGGCCATGTCATCCAGCCCATCCACAGGTCTCCCCATGGGTCCAGAAATTTGGCAGTGGGGGAGCGGTGGCAATGTTAATTGCTGCATACCTGCTACAAAATTTCCGGACCTGGAGGGAGCCCCGCAACAGGGATGATGTGGCCCTGTGCACTGGATTGTGCCAGCACATGGTGGAGCTGGCATGCTGAATCACAACTCTGCAGCTGATCAGAATTGGGTTGGTGCACAGCCAGATTTGGCACGGTCCTCCGATTGCATGCTCGACCGCACCCTGTGCATGGGATCAGGCCTGCAAACCTGGGAAATTCAACCCCACTGGTGCAGAGCGCTCCAGATCAGAGTCTGTGCAGTGATCACATCTTTCTGACGTAAGGTGCCTAAAATTCTCTTCTTCCAGATGTGTCAACTTTGGTGCAATCAGATTTTTGAGGCTTGTAGCTTTTTGTGCTGCTTTGTCAGCTGTGGCTTCTCTACGTCTTGTTCTTTGGAATCTCACCCTTAATCGAGACAAAGAGCTTTTATGTTTCTGTTTTAGGCGTGGGCCTGTCTTGTTTTTTCTCATTCTCCATTGCAACTTTATCATGTTTTTTTTAATTTGGAGACATACCCCAAACTTGTTATCTAAGGAGAGGAAAAAAGCATATGTGTGATCTTTAAAAGGAGATGTATCCTGTCATTGTGGTTATTCACAAAGTGTTGTAAAAGAACATTCACGCGCCCACTCTGTTTGGAGCATTTTCTCCAGGTCGTGTGTGTTTAAGGGGGGTTTTTTCTTTTCCGTTTTCAAAAATATGTTGTTCTTTCCGCACGGTTCAGGAATTGGAAAGATCTGGAGCTGCTTACATGAAACTGGCTCGAGTGAGAGGGGGTCTAGTTCATCACTCCTTCACAAGGTCAAAAATGTTGAGCGGGGGGAGTTTGGCTTCAATCTCACCGGTATTGTAAAGATCAAAATGACTCTTTCTCTCTGCTGATGCTCAGAAGCTGGCTTTTGCAGGCTGATAAAATACAGCTTGTAATAGGTTTACGCAAATAGTTGGTCCTGTGTATACAGTGCTATTTTTCCTTAGGGTATTAATAGAACATTTTATAATGGGTGTGAGTAAAGTATAAACACCATTAAATTGCTTGAGTTTCACTGATGCAGCTTTGCAGCTTTTCAGGTGCATCTTTTGGCTTTTTTGTTTTCTTCATAGTCACCAGAAATATCCATAGTGACAGTTTTGGATTAAGGCTATAAACTGTTTAAATAGCTTTACACAACGAACGGCCTAAATATAGAGTACAAATGTTAGAAGCAGGAAAAAATGTAAAATGCTTTATTTGCCACCAACTAGGAGATTGCAGTCTTCTGTATTCATACTAAATCTTGCAGAAACCCCAGCTTGGACCAGTCTGCTTCACCAGTAAATTCAAAGAGACCTTGCTGACAAATATTCCCTTGGATATTTTTTGTGACACGTTATTATAGTAATCTCTTTGGTTCTGAGCACGGTGAGGGCATAGTTTAGCGGTATCTCAGTGGATCCGAGGATTCTCCAATTTGTAGTCAGAGCTGGGGGAAATGAAAGTCATCCCCCTATTAAGCTAACCTAGCTTTAAATAAGTCATTCAGCCTAGAGCCTATGACATTTCTCGCAGAAGCCTCTTTTTCCCCATTAAATTCCTTTTGCGGGGGGATTCCAGCGACCGAGGTTGTGGGGAAAAGTCACACACACATGCTGCTTCTACAGAACTGGAGAGGGATTTCAGGATCCAAGACTATCTGAGCAGACGTCAAGCATCCATACACATTGTCTAGCCTATAGCAAATCACTCAAATTTATGTGAGATTGGAAGCCAGTTACCTACTCTTCCCATGGGATCCCATATTCCTTGCACAGTGTTCCTATACCTGCCCTTTCCTTCTCTCCTGCCAGCTCCATCATGTGTTTTATTTGGAAGGGTGCTTTGTGGACAGGGTTGGCAGCTCCAACCCAGTGTTTCCTTGTCTGCCACTTAAAACAGGATGCCTATCTTGCCGTAGAGACAAATATCTTATTTAAGGCAATAGAGAATGTATTGGTGGAATCACTTTTGTATTATTCTCCTAAGAACATAAGAAATGTCGTGCTGGGTCAGACCAGTGGTTCATCGAGCCCCATATTCTGTTTCCAACAATGGCAGAAATGGATGCTATTGAACTGGGTATCTCTATAGAGTGATCTGTCCCCTCTTCAGTACCCTTCCTGGCCTCCAGCATTATCGGTATAGAGATACCACACGAAACATCACCATCTATTCTGTTCAATAGCCACTAACAAATCCATGAACTTCTCCAGTCCCTTTTTGTACCTGGCTATGTTACCTGCCTCCACCACCTCCTGTAGCAATGAACTCCATGAGTTAGCTACACATTGCATTAAAAATGACTTTTTCTTGTTAGCTGTAAACCTGTCACCTACTAATTTCCTAGTTCTAGAATTCTCTGCTTTATTGCCCAACAGTCAGCATTTACATTTGGCTTTCTGTCGTAATTGTGTGTCACCAAGTTTATCATTTTTCTTTAGAATCAGCTTAGGTTAGGTCTGTACTAGAAAAAGGTTTGCCAGTATGGCTCCATCAGCAAACAAGCTTAAATGGACAAAAACAAGTGCTTTTGCTGGTATAAGCAGTTCCCTTAACAAAATAAGATATAGCAGCAAAAGCATTTATATCGGTAGTAGACTTTGGCTGACAAAAATGTCATAAGCATCTCACCAGCATTATACAACATTCAAAGTTTTTTGAGTGCTTGACCTGGCTTTAGTGGGGAAACAGTATTGTAACTTCAGTATGAAATTAGGGTGGCTGTATATTTAGTGCTAGAAGTTATATGGGTATATCATAGCAGCAGCATCAAAATACCTGAAGTCTGTGTTGAGCAAGTTGATAGATTACATTTTGGAGAGTATGCTTAAGAGTAGGACATCTTAATGAAGTTGTTTGAGCGTGGAATAATTTTTTCCATGGAAAGATGACACCGCTAAAGTACATTTTGTAATATTTTGTAAATATTGGGGACTGGTTATTTAAATTTTTTATGTTATTCCTTTTCAAATGCCAGGTTCTTGCATGGGTTTAGGTTGTAGCCGTGTTGGTCTAAGGACATAGGCAGACAAGATTCCTTGGGTGAATTTGATATCTTTTATTAGACCAACCCAAATAGTTGGAGAATAGTTATTAAGCAAGCTTTCAAGTTCAAAAACCCTTCGTCAGGCTAAGGAAGTGTCAGCAGTCGGTGTGTGCTCTTCCTGGATGGGGTGAAAAGTAAAGAAGCCAGGGGCTGGGCTGGGGAGTCAGTTGCCAGGCAGATTATAATGTATGAAAAATCCAATGTCTATGTTTAGTCCATGATCTCTAGTATCCAGCAGGTTGATGAAATGGAGCTCATAGGCTCGTTTCTGGGAAGTGTTGTGTAAGTTTCCCTTGAGGATCAGGACTGAGAGATTGGAGAGAGAGCGGCCCTCCTGTGAGAAATGTGCCCCCACCGGTAATTGGGTATTTCTGTCTTTGATAGATTTCCGGTGTGCGTTCATTCTGGTGCACAGTTGTTGTCTGGTCTCTCCTACGTATTTTCCATCAGGGCACTTGGTGCATTGGATGAGGTATATTGCTTTTCTGGAGGTGCAGCTGTAAGATCCTGGGATGCTGATGGTTCTGTTGTGGGATGTAGTAATAGTGGGGGTAGTGGAGATGTGGGGGCAGGTTTTGCATTTCTTGTCCTGGCACAGTCTGGATCCATTGGGTGTGTTCTGGGCTTGAGGAAGTTTGCTTCTGGTGATGAGGTTGGCGAGGTTCAGTGCTTGTTTAAAAGCTAGGATGGGTGGCCCTGGGAAGATCTTTTTAAGAATAGGGTCTCATTCTAGTATGGGTTGCAATTTTTTGAGGATTTTCTGTACAGGTTCAAGGGTGGGGTGATACATCATAACCAGCGGCGTGCGATTTGTGGGGGGTTTTCTTCTGTACTGCAGCAGTTCTTCACGTGGTATCCGGGTGGCTCTTTCAAACGTGCGATCTACCTCTCTGGAGGAGTGTCCTTGCTGGGTGAAAGCCTTTTTAAGATTGGTGAGGTGGCAATCCCTGGTGTTCTCTTCAGTACAGATGCGGTGGGATCTGAGGGCTTGGCTGTATATCACAGCTTTTTTGGTGTGTTTCGGGTGATTGCTGGTTCTGTGCAGATATGTATGTTGGTCTGTGGGTTTCTTGTATACTGTGGTCTGTATTTTACCCTTCTGGATACTGATCATCGTGTCTAAAAAGGAGATGTTGGTGCTGGAGTATTCTAGAGAAAGTCGGATGGAGGGATGGTGATTGAGTTCCACCAGAAATTCAACAATCAGAGATTGCAGGTTCTCAGTCCAAATGATGAAGATGTCATTGATGTACCTTAAGTATAGCAAGGGTTTGATGGTGCAGTTCTTGCGGAAGTCTTCTTCCAGGTTCTTGCATGGCATTTATGAGTGTCTGTTGTTCATGAAGGAAAGTGAAGCATTAGATAAAATTTACAAGGATTGCGTAATATTGATTTCACCGAAAATCTGTTTTGGCCTTTTCAGGATGCATCTTTTTTCAGAAATGTTTTATCTTAGTTGAAAGTGTTATTTGTGTTTTGTGTTCCACAAGGACTTTCTATTCCATACGATATCATTAATTAATCGTACATTGCAGAACTCAAGTTTTCATGATGTTCGCTAAGTTTCGTTCTTTACTGTGACTAAATGTCATGTTCATTATATACTTACCTGCATTCTGTCTTTTAACAGTAATGTGGAAAAACCTTAATTTTCACCTCTTCATCCAAATGTCAAAATTAGGTTTGAGCCTGCTTTAAATTATTTCTCCAAGTGATCAGACTATGCCCTTACCTGAGCTTAATTGCATTGCTCTCCTATTACAAGACCAGTAGCTCCAATTTTCAGTACTGTATGTCAGACAGAAGGCTTTCAAATCCATTCGGTATCAAGTAGTAAAGCATTTCTTGTGTCCCTGCTGCCACCAGGGCTTCCTGCCATATTGTATTCATTCTGTATAGACTGAATGAAATATTTCAGAACAGGCAGTGAAGGTTCAAAATGATGATATAAATGGACATTTTGTGCCCAAAAGCTTGCCCAGCATCTCTCTCAGCTAAGCAATTGGTCTAAGAAACAATATCACCAAAAAAAACCCTTCCCTCTCAATGGAAATGAGCTCATTCATCTCTTGCAGTCGCTGCCTAGATTTCCAGAAACTTACTTCTGTGTATAAAAACGCCATCTTGAGCTCCTCAAACAATTGTTACGTTATCTTATTACATTTTAATCGCTATTTTTAAAGAATAAAATCCAAAAAGCCAGAGAGCCTATTTGTGTGCCATACCTTTTAGAGAGATCTAGGATATAAATCTGTTCTGTTGATTTTTATTACAGGTCCAAACTTAGTCTTTTTCAGTCGAGGATAAGCTTACAGAAGGCAAGCGTGAAGGTAAGTTTAAGAATAATTAAGCTATAATGTAAAATGATAATAAGCATTGTTACTTTCATGGGACATATAACAAATTTAGAGATGCTTTGTGTTCATCGGTCACATTATCTTTACAATAACTGATCAGCTGGAGCAGAATGTAGAACAGGGTACAATTAATTTGGGCAGGAACATTTGTCTAATGAAAGAGGTATAATTTAAACGTAAACTATGTATGAGCAGATATTACAAATACCCACTATTAAAAAAAAAAAAAAGTCAAGCCATTAAAAAATCATTATTTTTAAATCTTTGTTCATGATATAAAATCATGTTTGATTTTTAATTACTTAACTCTCCTTTTTCCATTAAAAATCAACTGCCTCTTTATATTTCCTTTTCTGGATATAGTTAAAAGCACGACGGTCCGAGTGTAATTCAAAGGCTATACATGCAAGAAATGATTACCTTCTCACTTTAGCAGCTGCTAATGCACACCAAGATCGCTATTATCAGACAGACTTAATGAACATTATGAAGGTAAGGGAGCTAATTTAGTTTGATTTACTCAATTTTTTTCCTGATTGGGGGTTGGACTGGAGGGGGAGACAAGATACAAAGATATAAATCTTGTTTTCATGAGCCATGGCAGCAGTAGTCTCTTTTTTTCATTCCAAAATACCATGTGCTTGAAAATGTGTGTGGCTGTGTACCAAATAGCAGACAATGACAGTAAGCAATTACTGTTTCAGTTCCTTGTATTCTGATGAGGTTTCTCCATCTAAGGAATTTGTTGGTTAAAGCAAAGGTTTTATAGTTATCAAGTTCAGTGAAGCAAAATGATTTATAAGTGTTTAATTTGCAATAGCAACTTCTGTAGTATGCTTTAGACCTAGTCACGTGGACGGAAGATGAATTTTCAGTGTACGTAGGGGCAAAGTTTTAATATAAATAAGCTGGTGTCAAACTCCTACATATTTTAGCCAGTGTAGCAAATCAGCATTGCATCACTCCTAAGAACTTGGCCAATGATGTCAATTTGATAGATACCTCACAAGAAATGACATACATGAAGAGGTTTTAATAGAATTATTTCTAGTCTTTTCAATAATATCCCATATAGATAACTTAAATATGCAGTTTTCTTTTAATACAAAATGGATAATGCTGGAGGAATTGCTCAGTAGCTTGTTTTTAAACTCATTCATACTTTCTTGATACACTCTCTGCTGTGTTTCATGCTGTCTGTATTATTGAAAGGCTGTGGGCATGTCTACATGTGGCTGTGCAGTGATGTTGGTAGTGTGCCATGTTTTAGCACTTGCTTGGGGCAAGTACTAAAATACAGCACAGTAGCCACCCGTACTGCAGCATGTGGGCAGCGCACGGTTAGATTCACTGGCTACGTCGCGATAGCTATGCTACAGCTAGGAAGCATGCTGCTACAGCGACGTAGCTGTAGACCCACGTGATCACGTCACTGTAGCACCGCTGTCCCGTGACATAGCATGGTGCTGTAAGGCAATGTGTAGACGTGCCCAGTAAGTACACTTCAGGTTTCTTTAGGTGCATGTATTGATATATTCTAGCATCTCAAAACTGATTGGTTATCACCAGAACTTTTCCAGTTACTCAAATCATCATGCAGGCAAAAATTATGCTGTTTTTCAAATGTATTTTAAAATTACCTTCCTGAAGATGCTTTGCGCTCTTGTATATTAATACAATCTAGCTGCAGACTATTGAAAACTTAATGCAAGGACGGTATAATGCAATTACATCTCTGCATCATGGATGTACCTACATGGGGGCGCGGTGGGAAATGCATTAGTCTAAAAAGATATCCAAAACCAGGTCTGAGACAGACTCAGTTGGGTAATCCCATTGTATTTCACCTAACACAAATTAAGGCACCCTATGCACAGTGCTCTAAACAAACTACAAGTCACTTTATGAATTGCTGCACCCAGTATCTGAAGAACAGTTCATGCGTGACTAAGTCAAAGGCAGTAGACTGAGTGATAAAAATTGCCTATATAATCCATTACCATAGCTGATATTGAAGACTGCAGGTAGAGACAGAATAAGTAGACCTGATTGTGCTTGATCAGAAGAACCTGCTGCTCCTTGGATTCTGAAGTGTACAGATATATAGTAAATCAAAAATTGTTACTGGCTTAAATTGCAAAGGCTAGTAGGTAAGCTCTATGTCTGAACTGGCAATCTCAGTATTTTTATTCAAATCAGCATTATTTCTGACCTCTACCTTTTATCTTATTTAAAATGTAAACTCCTCTAAGCAGGGACTTTGCCTTTTTATATCTATATCTATAGATGGATGGATATGCTCACAACTAGAACATGGGTGCAAGTTTTGCTTTGGATTACGAATTCAGTACAGGGTAATTTAAATATTGTCTTTATAATAATAAAATAGCTTTCTTACTAAAGTAAAAAAACCCCCCACATTTAGTGAATACGATGATTTTCTTGGATTTAATGTGTTTATTTGTTAACCAGGGAAATAAACATGTTTCGAAACAAGTGGGAAGGGAATATATAAAATAAGAGCTTTTTTTTTTTTGCTTTTTTTTTTTCCTTATTTTGCAAATGTGTTTCTTTTGTAGCTAGGACAGTTCAGTGTAGCCCGTACTCTCGGTTGCAATTGTGCCCTGGTTCTACATTTCAGAGAATTTACAGTGCATGCTTAATATGTGGATTTCTGTACGGCTATTTGAATTCAGTTTTCTCAATAATGATGCAAAGGAGTGTAATTCAATATTCATAATGATCAGGAATTTGGAGGTTAGAGCTGCCCTTACCTCCGAATAGTGTAACTTGATGTACTACAAAATGTTATTGTTTTACGTCCCTTGCCTCCACCCACAGCCCCTCCCCCCCCCAGTCCGGGAACCCAGTCCATGGTCCTCTGCCCCCGACAGAAGGCAGTAGCTGCTGCAGCGGAGCGGAGCAGAGCATGGAGCCAGCTCTCCACCCCACTGCCTGCTTGCTGTGGGCTCAGGCGGGAGGGGGCAGCTCCCTGCTGCAGTGCACGCTCCCAGGGGCAACTTGTGCCTCCCAGATCTGTGTGCAGGGCAGGGGTGGTGCTGATGCATGCTGCAGGCTTGAGCTGCTGCCCTCTTCCAGGGCCTCCACAGCCCAGCGGAGCGGGGCCATGCAGGACAGCTGCTGGCCTGGCAACGCTCACAGTGGAAAGTAGCTTTCCTACATGGCCATGCTCTGCTGGGTTGCGGAGGCCCTGGGGGAGGGCAGCAAGGCAGGAGCTGAAGCCTGCAGTGGGCAACCCACCCCATGCACAGATCTGGGGGTGGGCAGGATCCCCCTGCTCCCCTGGGAGTTTGTGCAATGGCGGGGAGCTGTCCCCACCCCCCAGACAAGCCTCCCACGGCCCCGTCCCACTCCCCACCAGGGGCCTGTGGTCATGCATTGCGGCCCCGGGCCCCAAACTCCACACACTGCCCAGCAGGGCAGCAGCCCCAGCCCTGGCCCTGCCCAACTCCCTCCCCACTCCCTATGGGGCCTCAATCCCCCCCTTCAGTTTCCTGTGGGAGCTGCTCTCCAGGCTGCCTGGGGCCACATGCTTATATAGCTATTTGAGCTTCAGACTAAGGGAAGCACCCCAAGTTCTTGAAGTCCTCAAGGTCTATTAGGCCTGTGTTTCACAGAAGGCACAGAGCCAGAATCAGTCCAGACCCTGGGTGGTGGCAGCCTTAACCCCCGGCTAGCGGGTGTGCTCCAGGAAGGGGGTCGGCCAGACATGAGGCGCCCCCAGGGAGGCACTTGGAGCCTGGCAGGTGGTTGGGTGCAGTGAGGTGGGTGGCTCAGCTCAGGAGCACCCCCCACTGGCCTGCCACCCACACCTGCTTATTATATGGTGGATATGTAACTAGTTTCATTATCATGCTAAATGAGTAGTGATCAACAGTTCCACGTCTGCTTGAGAGCAGGTATTGCGTGGAGCTCCCTGGCCATCTATTGTTTAGTATCTTCATTAATGATTTGGCAAATGAGATTAAGTGCATGCTTAGCAAACTTGCAACAAGTAAGGTGCAGTTACAGACACTCTGGTGGGTAGGGCTAGGATCCAGAATGACCTTGATAAACTAGAAAAATGAGCTCAGATTAATCAAATGAAATCGAGTAAGGACAAATTAATAGTTCTGCACTCCGGAGAAGACAGTTCCGTGTAGAAATACAAACTGGGTAATGGCTGGCCAGGCTGCAGTGCTTCAGAGAAGAACCTAGGGGTTACAGCTAAATATTATTTTATTATAAACTAAATATGAACCATTATGTACTCTTGTTGGGGAAAAAAATGTCCAGTAGCATACTGGGCTGTATTAACAGGAATGTCACTTGTAATTCAAGGGAAGCGATTCTTCCACTGTTTGGTAGTGGTGAGCCCTTACCTGGAATACTGTTTCCAGTTTTGGACCCCTCACTTCAAAGGAAAACATGGACAAAAGAAGAAGAGTTCAGTGGAGAGTGACAAATTTGATTTGATTAGAGGCCTGGGAAACATGTCTTAGGAGCAGGGATCTTGGTTTTCTCTGATTTAAAAAATCCCCCATTTTTGCTTTAAAAAAAAAAAAAAAAAAGTAACCCCAAAACCACATTTTTCCCAGATTACAATGAAACAGTGAAATGCTGACTACAGTGAAAGGGTGCATTGGTGTCTGGGTTGGTACAAGTTAGCTTTGTCCTAATACCTGCTGTTTGTGATGTCAGATTTGTCAGACTGAAATGTTTTTCAGAGATTCCTATAATGCATTCAAGGGCTCCAGCAAGATATATTTCTTAACTTTGGCATTCTCTCCCAAGTGTCCTTGAGCAAATCGGTTGTGTGTCCAACACTTCTGAATTCTGAAAGTGAAATCATTGAATGTACATGTGAACCCACAAATGATGATGTCTTTAGGTATCCTGAAATAATATTTCAGAACAGGTTCCTTTTTCGGTAGTCATTGCCTATCCTCCCCCAAATGTACAGCGTCCACGTGATCTTATTATTTTGTTTTTGCTGCTTTCCCCAATAAACTTGATTCTGTGCAAGTATTGGCCCAAAGTGAAGGCACAGTTCTTTGGGTAGATGTGATATCTTTTATTAGACCAGCTATATAGTTGGAAAAACGTTCTTTGCAAGGTTTCAGGCACAAACGCCCTTCTTCAGGCAACGGGAGAAGAAGGTTTGTGCCCAAAGGCTTGCAAAGAACTTTTTTTCCGACTATTTAGCTGGTCTAATAAAAGCTATCGCATCTACCCAAAGAACGTTGTCTACCTACGTCCTTAGACCAACACACCTACAACCAATGTCCCAAAATGACTGTGCTGTCCTACTTGTCATGGGAACTTAAAAACTAAAAAAGACAGAAAAAGGGAAAGCTGCAATACCCCAGCTATAATAGCTGCTGTTTGCAGTGACAGAGCAGTAAATGTAATCCTTGCCATTTCAAGTGCTACTTAATAGATCTGTGCACAGTAGGAACCAGCTATCCATTTCTTCCTACTTTCTGATTATT